TAAATATTTAAAATAATTATTATTAGTTTTAATTATAACATTTAATGTTTAAAAAATTTTACAAAATTAAGTAATTATTGAATACATTTATGAAATGGGATTTATTTAAACTCTTATATTATATCCATTGATTTTCGAAAATCCAGCATCTCTGCAAAGTTGATACATTTGATTTAAATGTTTATCATCTTTAATGGCATGCTCTTTTTTTATTAATTCTGTTTTTAGAGATAAACCAATTAAATCTTTATATTCGAGCAATTTTGTTCCAACCTCCAACGTATTTACCCATATTGTATTTCCCAGATGCAAATTTACCTATGTACTTAAATTTATATTATGTGTTTCTTGTAAAAATTATTAAAACAAAAGAGCATTGATACAGCTTACCGTTCCAATCACATACGATCTTTCATCAACATTTTCTTTAAACCACTGATATACAGCATCAACTGCATTATTGTTCCACATATACTCATTATCATGTGGAACTATGCCAGTTAAAAATACTTCTATTACTTGTGTAGGATATTTTATAAGTTCTTCTGGCATGTATAACAATTGGAACACCTGAAATAAAAGTTACATTAATGTAGATGTATAAAATATATTACATTATTCTACTGCTTCAATGCATACATTTACTTTGTTCAAGATTACTCCATTATCGATGCACTTTACATCTACAAGCTTTGGACATCCTGTCTCATCTCTCTCAATGTGAAAAATTTGTACTCTCTTAAAAGTATCTATTGGTTCTTCTAAGCCACATACACATCCAATGTCTATTATGTCACATCTTTTCCTACAGCAATAAATGCAAATGTAAATACATTAAATATGTAAGTACAGGTATAATTTTGAACATTGTTTTTTGTATAGAAAAGAGTTTCAATTACTATGTTAACCTGTTTTTTGCATCAGAATAAAATTCTTGAATTTTTATAGTAATTTGCATGTATTCTGTACTAGAAAATTCTATTTCTTCTGATGTATCAAATTTAATATATGATATAATTCTGGCAGAAAAATGTGTTACATCATGTATACTCACTACTCTGAGTTTTACTTTATCGTTTCTAGAACAATACCAAAAATTTATTAAATAAAATTCTTTAACTGATTCGTAAATTACTTACATTTGAATATTCATAACTGGAACATCAATTTCTGAAATTACCCTATGTCTAAATGCACAAGAAGCTTCTTTGTTACAAAATCCCCAAGATTTTATGTTATCACAAATAGGATAATCTTTTTTTTCTCTATCTAGAGCAGCTGTTATAAGCTTAACAAATTTTTAAAATATATTTTATG